GCCACTTTAAAGTAAATAGTCTTGACAAACAATAAAAAATATAAATAACTTTTTTTGGAATTGTTGGTATGACATAATTAAAATGTAAAACGATAAAAGATTTACATTATATATGAGCAACATAATAACGGTAAACTAGTGAATATATCTAGTAAATTATACCTTTTTATTGTAAAATTATATTTCTCTCAACGTTATCAAAAGGTTGTCGGCATATCAATAAAAAAAAACTAGCAATTTCAAACCATAATAAATAATTGAAAGATAGAGAATTGATTTAATTTAATTATTGTCAATAATAAATGACCCATAAGTATAAAACTACTAACTGAATTTTTTTGATGACACAATTTTATATAGGTATAATAACTCTTCTAGAAAAATCAGTACCTAATCATAGTTTCAGTGATTGAATAGTCAAAGTAAAGAATATGAAAATGAATTTACCCGTAAAATTAGGCATTGGTTCTGTTTTTGCGTTTTTATTTATTATAGTTGTTGGTTTTGTCGGATTTCCTAAAATGATTAAATCTAAAGTAAAGCAGGTAAAACAATTTTTTAATTTAATATTTAACAAAATAATTGAAACTGTATTTTTATGAGAACTTAGCTAGCAGTATTAATATAAATAACCTCATACATATAGAAACTAATTTATATACATATTAGTAGTAATTTAATGCTGATACTTATGTTTTATTCCCTATCAAAATAAATTAGAAAAGAAAGTCGAAAAAATTATTCCCGTGAGTGGTTACCTCAGTGTTTATATACAGGGTTGGCCAAACCTCTGTCGTAGTTCTATAACTCCTACTATGCAAATCTTAACGATTTATTTGATGTATACCTGTCAATGGTGGCCAATACCAAATATCCCAAAATTATTTTCTTGTGGCCCAATAGTAAATTAGGCAAATCACTTAATTTTTTTTAAATGGAATGACCCAACTTTTTTTACAATTTTAGGTACTCTATGGTCACTAGTACATACCCACAAAATATTGTTTCTAACATCCCACCCCTTTCGCAGAAAAAAAAATTACCAAAAAATATTACATTTTCAGACGCCTATTAAAATATGCAGTGCTCTCTTGAATTTGATGTTAGAATTTAAAAAACTACGATTGTATAAAGCCAATAGATCAAAGATTTTTTTGGACCAAGTTTGAATTTTTTATTTTGTACAGAGTGGTCACAAATTAATTTCACTTTCCAAAAATTTCGAGGGAAATTTTTTAAAATTTTTCAAATGTATCACCCTGTATTTCTATTCGTCAACTGAAGGAGAATTTCATACCCTTCCACTTCCCTATACCTATCTGTCGCCGTTATAAAATAAATTCAAAAGGAAGAAAATTACGATAATAAAATTTATTTGAAATTTATCCTAAAACATAAATTTACATTTTATAAAAGATGCTCAAAATGTCTGCCATTTTCTCTAATGCATACATTTATTCGTTGGGCGAATGATCGAGAAACGTTTCTAAGCATATCAGGTGTAATGGAATGGAAAGCTTGCACTATCCTTTCTTTCATATTTTCAGGTGTTGTAGGTGGCGTAAGATAGACTAGATTTTTAATATAACCCCACAAAAAATAATCGGGTTTTGTTAAGTCAGGTGATCGAGCTGGCCATTTTTTTGGACCATTTCTACCAATCCATCTATTTGGAAACTTTTCATCTAATTCATCTGTCACTTCGCGTAAAAAATGCGCTGCTGCCCCATCATGTTGGTACCACATTGTTAGTCTTACAGCAAGGAAATGTTTTCAAGTAAAGTAGGAAGATGATTTGCTAAAAAATCTAAATACATCAGACCATTTAAGTTGCCTTCAAAAAAATACGGCCCAATAACATGATCCCCAATTATACCTCCCCAAACATTTACACTCCATCTTTCTTGGCTATGTGTTCTGATGCGGTTAGGATTTTCCGTGGAATAATAGTGGAAATTATGTCTATTAACGAATCCGTTCTTGTGGAATGTAGATTCATCATAAATGGATTTTGTTGCAGTTTAGTTTGTGCCCAGTTACAAAACACCATTCTATTATCAAAATCGGTGTCTTTCAGCTCTTGATGCAATTGTATTTTATAAGGATGATATTGATGCTGTTTTAAAATCCTTCTAACGGATGTTCTACTTATACCTACTACTTCGGCAATCTTTTTTTGACTTACATGAGGATCTTCTATCGCTGTCAAAATTACAGATAATTGGTTATCATTATCAGTAGCACGTTTGTCAATTATTGGTTTTTTATAAGCAACATTTCCTGTTTCGGTAAATCTTTCATGTAACTTTTCAAAACTTTTTTGATCAGGGATGCGTCTATCGGGATATCGTTGATAAATTCTTTTTGCCAATAAACAATTTCTGTCGGATTCTCCCAAAACATAGACCATGTCCATTAATTCGTTTTTCGTAAAATTTATTATTAATAGAAGAATTATCGCGATCAGTAAAAATAACTTGACACTCCATTAATAAATAATCTGACACTTCATTAAGACCCAGCCTACTTGATTGTATGTTCACTTTCAATAAAACCACTGGTAGAAATTGGAATTTACTTTTAAACGACGACAGATAGGTATAGGAAAGTACATGGGGAAGTCGAAGGGTATAAAATTCTCGTTTCATCGATGAATAGTAATACAGGGTGTTCTATTTGAAAAATTTGAAAAAAATGTCCTAGAAATTTTTGGAAATTGGAATTAATTTGTGACCACCCTGTACAAAATAAAAAATTAAAACTTGGTCTAAAAAAATCTTTGGTCTATTGGCTTTATACATTTGTAGTTTTTTAAATTCTAACGTCAAATTCGAGAGAGCACTGCATATTTTAATAGGCGTCTGAAAAAGTAATATTTTTTGGTATTTCTTCTTTTTCTGCGAAAGGGGTAGGTTGTTAGAAACAATATTTTGTGGGTATGCACTAGTGACCATAGAGTACCTAAAATTGGAAAAAAAGTTGGGTCATTCCATTTAAAAAAAAATAAGTGATTTGCCTAATGTACTATTGGGCCACCCTGTACACAAGAAAATAATTTTGGGATATTTGGTTTTGACCACCATTGACAGGTATACTTCGAATAAATCGTTAAGATTTGCATAGTAGGAGTTGTAGAACTACGACAGAGGTTTGGCCAACCCTGTATAGTTAAATCAAATAACACTTTTTAGTCTCAAAAAAATGTACAAAATAGGATTTTTATTAATATCAAAAACTATGTAATACAATTTTTATCGTAATACGATTAAAACAAAAAGAACCTTAATTTCCACATTGACAACATATTTATAACCTCGGGTTCATCGCCGTGAAGGTGCAAATCGCTGATTTTGCTGATGAGCAGTGATGTAAAATTACCTTAATTTATATTTTTGGTAATTTACGGGTTTTAATTACATTATAAATTTAGGTTTAAGTAATACAAAACGCGAAAGAAAACAAAACATCGAATGAAATTTTATTGTTTATGATGCTACTTAATCTAAAAAATCTTAAGTTACTCGTACTTTGTATAAGAAAATTTATTTAAATTTTATAAGAATTATATAAGATTATGTTTTATTAATTATATTATGCATATGTTACGTTGGCATTTCACAATGAGGTGGACTAAATCAGATCTCTAAATCAACTATTTTATCTAGTTCAGTTTCGCTATCTACTTTAGACCGGTCAGATTCAGATTCAGACTCCAAAAAAGATTGTAATGAACTGGATGAACATTCCGCTATATTTAAATTTTGTCTGATATAAACATTTTTTTGTGCCCTTTTATTTGTTAGTCGATTCCTTTTATTTGTATTGACATTTCCATGCGTTAATAAGCTTTGTTCTGAGGCAGTAGTTGACGGTGGGCAGTTTAATACTTCTACAGCTACTTTGCTTAACTTTGTTGTCGAACAAATCGATTTCCACCAAGTCACTGCTGATAGTTTTCCATTTTTTAGACTGGTCCATACAAAGTCTTTAGCAAATAGGGCTTCTTTAGATCTATAATTGGCCATACTTTTCTGCAAGTAAATTCCAGCTAGCTGTCATGTTTTTTTCATTGTCTGTTGTAATTGACATATTTCATCAATTAATTTGGATATAATGTTGCACATGAAAGTTGTTTCATGACGAGCTGCTTTCGCATCTACTATTTTATATAACACAGGCTCAGGCCTAGTAAGAATAGGATTACCATAATACAATATACAATTTCCTGACATTCCTAATGAATATTCCGGACCAATTTTTAAAAATCCGAACAAAATAATAAAACTTCAACTTGAAATAATTACTATACTTATGTTTTATTTAAAGAAGTACCTACATACCATCAAAAACTAAGAAAAAACAGTTCCTCAGTTACAAAATCTTGAAATGACAGCAAGGAGGACATTAAATATAGATTAATTGCGAATATTAGACCAACCATCAATTTGAATCCCTACAGTCTTAGCAGTATGAATTTTTTCGTTCACGAACCTTTTTACACGATCATATTCACTGTTGAGTAATCTATTTGATAACTGATGCCTTGAGGGAAGTTTTAATGAAAAGCAGTTATCCAATGCTCATTTTTACCGAACTTCGGCGTCTCTTTCGCGAAATATGGTGAATTACAAGAAAATGCCGTATATAATGATAAATTACGGTAAATAATGTAAATTTTTTACCACAAAAATCGGTAATTTACTCTGCAAATTACTAATAAATTACTGTAATTTAATTCCGATTATTTACAGTAAATTACCACGGTAATTTATCGGTAATTTACTAGTTCACATCTCTAAAAATGGTAAATAACTGCAAATAATGTAATTTTTACCACAAAAATCGGTAATTTACTTTGTAAATTACTGTAATTTATTTTTGGTTAATTACGGTAAATTACCACGATAATTTATCGGTATTTTACCAGTTCACATATCTGCTGATGAGGCACTTCGTACAATGAACGGTGGATTTCTATCACATTTCTATATATTTTTTAGATGGTAAATTTGGGGCCCAAAACGGAGATTAGAGACATGTTCCTTGAATTACCATTTCCTCTAAAATTTAAAGTTTATCTTTTCAATATAACAAATCCAATGGAGGTTCAAAATGGCGCATTACCAGCGGTTACAGAAATTGGTCCTTTTTGTTACAAGTAAGTACAATAGACTGAGAATCAGTGGCCATTTTGACTAACGTATTGAGCACAAGGCTGAAAATTTGAAGATTATAATTTAATACCAGTTTAATAAGGAAATAATGGTCTGGCAGGGATACCGCGGTTCCGCTCGGTGATCAGCTGTCACTTAAAGTTAATTCGTGGAAAACGTCAACTTTGCGGTTGAATTTCGAAGCGCAAAAGTCTACTTTGGATAGTGATCGTATAAAAATTGTTTTTTTTACTTACTTTTAACATTACTTATCGTACTTATTAATTGGATCTATGGCGTTGTTAGCCGAAGGCCAAAAAAAAACTGGTATTAAATTATAAATCTACTAATTTTCAGCCTTGTGCTCGACACGTTAGTCAAAATGACCGCTAGTGTTAATAATGCTATAATAATAGCAGTTTATACAAGAGTAGATATGGTGACCATGTCACAAGAAGACGAAGTTTAAGCACAACAAATATCTTGTGGATTACTACGGTTTATCGAGTCTTCTCTAGAGTCTCTCCTTTTAATTTACTTATACCATAATAACTGTAAAAAATATACTGATGAACTAATTTAAAATGTTAAAAAATAATAGTCTAGTTGAATAATTTGGACAAAAATGGTTATTTGATTTCTTGAGAAAAGTAAATCAAAAACATTTCACATGAGCAGTCGTTTAATTAGATACTTTATAACCTTATTTTTAGCGAATGGAAGGTGAAAGTTAACATTGGGGACGATGAAAAAAGTGATACAATTTCCTATATACCAAAAGATACATACATGAAGACAATGGATCCGGGCTGCAAATCGGGTCAAACTGAAGTCACACTTCCTCATGCTCTTCTTATTGTAAGTAATATGTCATTATTTCTCCATTGAAGTATAGAAGTTATATCGTTTGGTGAAAATTGTATACTTGTCTCCAGCTTGCACGAGAAGAGCAGAGTCAAAAATGATAGACCTTTTTATGTATAAGCATTTATTAAGTAACTCTAAAATCAGTTGGGCAGCTTGAAGTCTTTTAAAAACATCTAAGTTTTCATTAAATGTCTTTTACAAGACTATGATGTCTAAATACACCAGGTATTTTTTCCATGATAACCCTCTCAATCCATTTTCCATATGTCTTTCAAATGTCGCAGGGGCATTACTTAGTCCAAATGGCATGACACAATCCAGATCCGGTCTTAAAAGCTGTCTTTTCTTTGTCTACTGGGTCAATTTCCACCTGCCAATATCCAGACTTTAAATCTAAAGTAGAAAATAGTTAATTGCCGGCCAATGTGTCCAAGGTATCGTCGATTCGAGGCAGAGAATAACTGTCTTTCTTAGTAACATTATTCAACTGACGGTAGTCCACACAGAACCTCATAGTTTCATCATTTTTTGGACCAAGACTACCGGAGCGATCCATGGGCCCGAACAATCCTTTCAGCTTCCTCTCTTTTGGCTTATGCTAACCTTCGAGCCTATTGACAAATCGGCCTGTCGTTACCAGTGTCAATTTTATATTTTACAACAGAAGTTTTTCCTCCATTTGGTACAAAAATAACACGATATCGTCGAAGAAACTCTTTTATTTTCTTTATCTCTAATTGATTCAGAGATTGACCAGCAACTGCAATCAGTTGCTCGAATTTGTCGTCAGAAGTTGTTGCCTGACGAATTATGGAAGTTACTGGTATACAATTTCCATTTCAGGTCTCGTTCCTGATTGTAATTGGGTGATCATTAACTTTTATAAGACAGACTGGACGGAATTACAAATATCTGCTTTAATCTTTCGCATTTTCTCGACTTCTCAACCTGCGCATTTAAAGGACAAATTACTATATCGAGATGTTCATAATGTAAACTTAAGATATCCAAACACTCTAACACTACCCAGATTCAATCTTACCATGTTTCACCGTTGTTTTACTTACAATGCTGTAAACACTTACAATACTGTTCCATTGGAAATAAGGACACATTCTTTAAAACATCTTAAAAAAACGCTTAAAATGTAGTTTATTAGCTAATCAATGAAGGCATTGTATTATGATTACTACCTTATACTTTTATTTTTATTACCTGTAACCCCTAGCTTTATAGGGCTTGACATATACTGCCTTCGATCATGTGGACTGTATTCAAATTAGATTACCTGGGGTGGAGGCCTTATGCTCCACCCTGTAGCCTCTGGAAGATATTCTTGAAGTTCTAGTTGAAGCACTGGGTGTATTAAAATAAAACCAGTACCCTACATTTGATTTTGATATATTCACTGCTTGATACGTTCACATTTAACACAATTACAACTTTGTTACATAAGATTATTGAAAAATTTAAATATTAACTTTTATCAATCAAATCGCACAATCGTTGGAATTGATTACCGCGAATGCCGGCTTTTTAGGTTATAGTTTTTGACTTGTTGCTTGTTCAGAAGAAAAAGCGAAAGTGATTTTAGTTTTATTCTGCCGTTGCTTCTCAACCCAGACCGGCTTTTTACCTTTCTCTAATTGGCTCTCTTTTCTCCTATGATTGCACGCGAGACTATTGTTTTTAAGATCTGTCTTATGATTAGGTGAAAAATCTCGCGTGACTATCTTTAACTGTATTAGAGGCAGCAGGTGTCTTTGAAGGTCACTTGAAAGTTAAAAGGGTGGTTATTGCACAGCTTTGGATAACTGATTTATACAGAGAGTGCCTATTTAGTATTTTATTATTTTTTGTTTGTTAAATGCTGATTTAGATTAATCTGCCCTGCCGATAGGACATGTTGAATGTAATTTAAACATTACCATTTATTAAATTCATTTTTAATATTTTTTTTTATTAAATTGTTATATATATAAAATCAGTTCTCTAAATCAATTTTTAAGTTTTCTAAATATTATTTTGTTTGTAAACAAATTACTTACTGTTTAGAGGTTATGTGGAATAGCTTAGCTAGACTTCGTCTCTATATATTTTCATGTATTGTATATTGCAATGCAAAATAAAGGCACTTTATTATTATTATTATTATTATTATAATTTTAACGAACGGCGATAACTAAAAAAAAATATGGGGTAGAAAACAACTCTTTGGGGGCGGAAAAAATGGGATAGCCTTTACAAAATTACGCATTTTATTATAATTATAAAGCAAGGCTTGTGGGGAATTAAATTAAAGTAAACTTAATAAAGATTTAAAAATATTTCCCAGGGATGCACTAAAGGAGTTAAAAAAATACGAGAGGATGATGATATAAATTAGATATTTTATTCACCTTTCCATATAAGTTTAGCTGGTTGTTTGTGTTTATTATGGTCTTAGCGACCCCCTATTACATTTATTCTTGAATTACCTAAAACTGAGGTCTCAATATGTAATGTATGGTGGTAAATTTTCTCATACATTCCTAATCGGCACTGGGGTCCCTCATGACTCCAATTTAGGCCCTCTACTTTTCTTAATATTTGTCAGTGATCTACCTCTATTACATCAAACTGCCTCATATATGAACATGATTTTAAAGCTTTTAAGCACATATCCACTATAGATGATTATCTAGATCTAGACGTTTAAAATGACTGTTATGGTTCAAAATCCATATGAATGTACTGGGATGCTTTTGCCACAAAAATAATATATATAGTATTGACATTTAACTTTTAATTTACTTTAATTTATTATTTAAGTATAATAGGAATAAAATCTATTAAAAGATCACTCCGTATACTCCGTTTTGGGTAGAAGTTTAATAGGAGATCCATTTCTCATGTTCTGTGAGTTAACTAGAATGAAAAGATACCTTTTATAAGTCAATTGTCAAATTGGAAATTGTAGAAGTTTAACCTTTTTTCAAGTATTTCTTTCTTGTTTTGAAGATTCGTTCTGGTCCTCTGTAGATATATTTTCCATTGTTTTCTTAATTAGTTTGTAGTTAGGTTCTAAGTCTAACAGAAAATAGAAACGATTTGAATTAGATGAATGGTTTCAGGTTTATTTTCTTTTGTTTATTTACATTTATTCTGACATTATGTCATTCACTTTAGACAGCTGTTTTATATTTTGAAAAATTCAATAATTAAAACCTCAGATAATCTGGAAATTCTTGGAATTAGGTTTGTAAGAAATTGGCTATGTATATATTTTTATGTTACCTGACATGATTTAATATCATTTCCTATGGAGGTCATTTTAACTTGTTTTATGCATATCCTGCTATCATTACTTTTCTGGTACACCTTCAAGTAGCATGTGCTTTTGAGGAACTTTTTTTTAAGAATTCATGTGCTAGAAAAGAAATCAATTAAAAACATAATTACTTATACTGTTGGTTGGTAACTTAAGTAAACTCGTAAGAGAATTTGGTTTTCAATAACCTAAATAACTCACATCAAATAAGGCCACATTTCATCTTCAGGCCTTTTCCCTTTCTCCTTTTTCTTTCTTTCTTAACTTACGCTTTTCGTTTTCCAGTTTGTATTCTGGTGGTGGATCTTATTCATATATCTGGACATTACTTTGAGACGAGTTAGTTTTATTTGTGGAATCAACTGTTGGATACTACTACTAGACTTAATATACAATTGGTCATTATAAATTCCAGTACAAAAGTTTATATAGAATGACGTTTCTGAGACCCACTTACTTTTAAATTTTTTAAGTGATGTAGTTAAAGACTTTTTCCTGCAAGCAAAACTGCTTCTTTTATAGCATTTTGATGCTGCCCACATTTTTACACTGTTTGGTGAACGTTTGAACACATTTGTTTCGACAATGAACTAAAATGGTTTCGTTGAAAACCAAAAACTAGGAGACAAGCTATTATCGTAGTTAAAAGACAATGCATATTTTTAGAGAAACAAATAATATTTAAGTATTGTCTGATTTTAGGGAACTGTCAATACAGTTAACAGAACAAAACCAGGAGCTTTAGCAGTAGTTAATAAAGCCATTAAATCCATATTTAACAGTCCAACTTCTATATTCTTGACTGCCAAAGCAGACGATATTATTTTCAGTGGAGTCGATATTAATTGTAAAGTTACAGATTTTGCTGGAAAAGCGACTTGTATGGAGCTTAAGGAATCTGGAACTTTACTGGAACGTGATGGGCGTATTCTATTTTCATTTTTAGGACTGGTAAGTTTCATTAACTTATGACTTTCCTGCAAGTTGGGATATTAATAAAAATTTCTTTCCGTTTAGAAAAATGGAACTCTTCAAAAAAGAATCAAAGCTCTACGTGGAACGAAGAATTACCATGATGTAGGAAGAATTGTTGAATATAACAGTACAAAAATTATGTCTGTATGGTCTACAAAAGAATGCAATAAAATAAGAGGAACGGATGGTACTATTTTTCCTCCAATGCTGAAGAAAGAAGAAGGAATTGTTAATTTTTCTCCAGATATTTGCAGGTTGTTATTTGCTATTAATCAATGGAAATCGATGATTTGACTTTGATCGATTATTACTTTTAAAACAAAATTAATACTCCGAAATTTTTTTCTTTACCATAACAACCCTAAAAAATTCCATAAATGTAATTAAATTTTTTTTTTCTGTTTTAGATCTCTTGTTCCTTTCTGGGTGAAAAAAACTAAATATGACGGTATTTCCGTCAACAAGTATACAGCTTCATTGGGAGACATGTCAGCGAATAAAGAAGATAAATGCTATTGTTACACGCCTGATACATGTCTTAAAAAAGGTTTGATGGACTTATACAAGTGTGGTGGGATACCGATTTATATATCGATGCCACACTTCTATGACTCTGATAAATCCTATTTAGAAGGAATAGAGGGGCTGAACCCCAATCAAGAGGATCACGAGATCTCTATTTTATTCGAACAGGTTCGTTATAAAAATTTTGTATCTACTGCTTATTTTGTAATACAAAATAATTCACTCATAAAAGTTGTTCAAAATGCTCCATTCTTTTGCGACTTAGTATTACGAGTATTTTCTGATTATGCAAATTTAATTATTTAAATTACTTAGATGTAGTATGGTTAATATTAGTTACATATAATTTTTTAGCATAATTTATTTGTTATTATTCGATTATTATTGTTTATTATTAAATTCCTATAGGGGAGAAGTGTCATGAAAGAGACATTTCACCTACATGGTAACACAGCTAACTAAAAATCCATTTTAGAATCACCACAGTGGCCATAGTATAAGGCCTATATATTTGGTTAGCTAAATTTAGTTGCAAAAGGCTTTTGAAACAAGTACTGTCAATAAATATGATTTCCAAAAAAAAGGAAATTTGTTTCCTTTTATAACCAAGTATATATTGAAAGGGACAAAAAAGTATTGAAAGGAACATTCACAAGAACAAATGATTCTTATTCCTATTCAAGTCCACTGTAATATGAAAAGTCAATAGAAAAGGATAAAAAGCCTCCGACTCTCTTGTTTCCAGCCATTTTTATAGGGTCTGAAAGCTTTAATACAATATTATCATGCAAGTTAACGTTAAAAGCAAGCTCACTCTCAACTCTGTAAAATAATGCAAGAAGCTCTAAAAATTATAGAACAGTGGTGCAAGGACCATTCACCGTCCATCAATTATAAGAAGATAGAAATGGTTCTTTTCACAAGGAAAAGGATGAAAATGGAATTAAAACCTCCAGAACTCCTAAACAGAAAACTAAACTTTGCAACAGAGGCGAAGCACCTAGGTTTCACCTTTGACAGCAAGTTAACATTGAACTCGCATTTAGAAAACGAGAGTTAAAAGAGCATACATTGCTTATGAATAATGCCGCCGAACCGTGGGGCGCACCTAGGGATTCTCCTCTAAAGCCATCGCGTGGACTTCCACGGCTATCATAAGACCTATGCTAACATACGGTGCAGTTGTCTGGGTACCGAAAACCCAAAAATTAACAGCTATCCGTAAACTAGAACAAATTCAAAGAACAGCATGTCTCAACATAACAGAAGCCATGAAAACAACACCGACCAGAGTCACTCTCCTTGATATTTACATCAAGGAGGTTGCTACGACGACAATGACACGCCTCCGCACGGTTGGAATAGAATCTGATGTAGGATCTGGTGAGGCGGGACGTCGCTTTTGGCAAGAGACGCTCTCCCTGCTTCAAGCGAACATGGACTCCATTTCACCGAGATATCTTCCATAAGCCATATAAAGTTATTATAGAACAAATAGAAGAGCCAGAAGTGGCAGGTACGATTTATATCTACACCGACGGTTCTAAAATAAAACAAGGCTCAGGATGTGGAATATATTCTTAAACTTGTGAGCAATACTGACAGTGTAGTTCAAACAGAGCTAACGGGGATTCTCATAGCAGCAAAAGAAATAACCAGAAACAGTATTACTGAAAGGAACATGCTCACCTATACAGATAGCAGACAAGTACTACTCACCCTGAACAGACTACGAATTCACTCACGATTAGTACTAGAATGTCACGAAGCTTTGATCGAAGTATCCATCAACAATGTGGTCACCTTAGAATGAATCAAAGGTCACGCCACATCGAAAGGTATCCGTCTTGCCGATTCACTAGCCAAGAAAGCAGCCAACCAAATACTTTTTGGACCTGGCCCTTCTATTGGCCTGACAAAATCGGTAGTGACAGACCTAATTAAAGAACATTCCATTGTGAAATTCAGGGATAGATAAGATAAAACAAGAAACTGCAGAGTTGCCAGGGAGCTCTTAAGTTATCCTGCAACAAACAAATATTTAACTATGACTAGACAGAATCTGCGCATATTCACAGGCATTCTGACTGGTCATTGCCAAGTATGAAAGCATTTCCTTATCATGAGGCTGTCAGAATCCGAACTCTACAGAGGGTGCGAACAAGAAGATGAAATCATCGAGCTCGACGCTCTCATTTATTAGAAGATTTGTGTTCGGCGAGTATCGGCTAACACCGGCCGATATAAGTGAAGCACCTCTTGGCGACGTTATCAACTACACTAAATCTGTAGGCTGGCTCACGAGCTAGGAGGTGCCTATCATCTTAGGAGAATGCAGAATGGGTCTAATGAGGCCTAAATGCCACACGTTACAAATACAGAAGCTCACTCTCAGAAATTTTAAAGGTATCAGTCTCATTAAATTTTTTAAGAAACTTAACTGTGAACTCGTCGTCTTTAATTACTTTCTATACTTGTCCAACAAAATACTTAAACGTATTTTTTTCTTTAGTTTTAAACTTAACTAAAATAAAAATATTAACCTTTGGCGCGATATTGACGCTTTCTAGTAGTATCCTCTCTCTCTCTCTCTTCAGTTATTTTTTTTTGTTTTTTTGCGGCTTTTTTTGAGTTTTTCTAGTTCTGGAGTTTCTGTAATAATTTTAGATGAACCACGTTTTCCAACTTTTCGATTTGTAATTCTAGGAGCTGCTTTTGAAAATGGTCGAATAGCCTCTGGCGTTAATAATGCATATCCACTTGAAGCAAGGAAATTTGATGGCTCCAGTTTTTGAATAGTAAACTTTAAGGAGCTTGTTTGAATGTCTGGTTTCAGAATTTTGATCGTCTGCATGATTTGGGGTTTCAATTGTGTTGACTGAAGTTTTTGGCATTGATTATTAGATTCTGCATCGCAAGAACTGGGTTGTGGTCTATCAGAAACATAGGAGGTTAAGAAGTCTTCATCACAAAATACTTGCGAGTTAAAGGGGAAAATACCAGATGTTATGTTTTTGAAAGCAAACGCCTTCGTAGGCTTCTGTCGCTAGTCCAAGAATGTTATAAATGGAAACTGGAACCGGATGGAAAAGCATCAAATTGTTTAAAGCCACTTTATAATAGGCTTTGAATGGGCCGAATATTGCAATATTCAATGGCTGTAACTTGTGGCTACAATGCGATGGAAAGGTCAAAATTATTACGTGATTTTCTTTAGCGTGAACAACAACGTCCAGACTTATATAGCTTTGATGATTATCAAGCAATAGAAGAACAGGGCTTTCTTTGTTAGGTTTGGCATATTTTATAAAATGATCAAATGCTCAGAAAAAATTTTCCTCCGTCATCCATCCCGTTTTGTTTGCTAAGTCTTTGCTTCCAACTGGACAATCTTCTGTCATAAATGAATTAAAGTGAACACGTAGAAAAACGATGGTGTTGCCCGTTGCAAAAACAAACGCCAGCATAGTAACTAACTGACCTCGCTCAGCAGACACAGCTTGCCCTACTAGTTTTTGCATTTTTTTGGGCCACTACATTTGGTAACTCAGCAATAGTTAACAGACTGGTTTTATCCGCGTTGTATATCGATTCGGGTTTTAATTGTTAGTCGGTATTAAGAAATTATGTTTTTTCTTTTGATAGGTTAAATCGGGAATTAAATTTGATTTTATTGATAAATACTTTAGTAAGTACCGCGTTGTAATTAAGTTGGGAATGTTTGTAAACGGAGTTTTCGAGGAGACGTTTTCCCTCTTTTAATAGTTTGTTTATTCTTTTACCGTATATTTGAATAATCTTAAATAGCATCCTGTCCTTGTCTGAACGGGCTCGTGATGACGATCAGTTCACCCTTGGAGTAGGTGCTATTCACGTTATAATTTTTTTTTAGTTAATCTGTAAACCGCAAATTTTAAATAATTTTAAATAGTATCCTGTCCTGTTTGAACGGGCTTATGATGACGATCAGTTCACTCTTGGAGTAGGTGCTATCCGCGTTAGTAATTTTCTTCCCTTCGATGATAATTTGTTTTTCTCTTTTACCGTCAATTTAAATAACTTTAAATAGTATCCTGCCCCTGTCTGAACGGGCTCGTGATGACGATCAGTTCATTCTTGGACTAGGTGCTATCCGCGTTAGTTTTCTTTTCCGCTTTATATGCTTAATTTTTTTTTCGTGCAAACTGCAAGTTGTAGAAATCAAAAATAGCTTCATTACCCTGTCTGAGCGGGCTCGTGATGACGATCAGCTCATTCTGGGATAATAGGCTACCCCGGGTATAAATTTATTTTCATTTTCTTTCCGTGTGTTTACTATAAGTAATTCTTTCGCGTCCCTGTCTCCTCGAACTCTCTTCAACCGTTTAGTTAATTTTTCTTCACCTAAATAGCAAAATACGTACATTTTAGTTTAATTCCCGATACCGCGGTTAAACAGTTATTTACCGAGTAAATAGCCAAGTTAATAATTTTTTTTTCTGCAACCGAAACATACATTTTATTTTATTTTAATCTTGACGTCTGATTGAGACTAGTCGCGAATCAATACCGTCCGTTTTGTTTTTTTTTTTATTTATTCCGGGTTATATTGACTATCACCACAACTGGGGTGGGCGTTGAAATATTTAATTTCTTTTTTTTGTTGTAAATAATTATTCATAATATATGTGTAAATGTTAACCTGCCGTATTACTGGTTAATAATTCCCTACTTTATTTCCCACTTATATTTCAGCTAGTGATAAATTCTGTACCAGCCCAAGCAACGATTAAAGCCCGTTACTTGTGGCCTACTATTACCTGTGTCTAAGTGACCTTTGACCCTTGGAATTTTTCATCTTTATCTGTAGCTACCCGAGTACTTTTGACGCCGTTTCGAGAGTTTGTGGAGTAAACCATTACCAAAAATCTGGCGCTCGAGAATCGTCCGTAACCAGCGCCATTCGTAAGGAACCGTTTTCTCTGTGGCGAGAAAACCCCTTACAATACTTGTCCCTTTCATGGCACTTCTCCCCTACATTATTTATTTATTTTCTTTTAGTTGACCGGTAGTCCAGTTCAAGTCAGAAAAAGGCTTCAATTCAACATGCCTTTGGAGGCCAATAAAAAAATAGAATTGTTTAGGAACCTCACAAACACTGTAATTCCATTATTCTGGATAGAAGAGGTAAGTTTACTTGTTTATTATTGGCAATACATTAACTAAAAGGGAGTCAGCCTCGAGTATTGGTTATTATTAGGTCAAAATGTATAAGTTTTGTGAAAGAGAATTATAGTCATTTCAGGATGAATTAAATCACAAAGACAGGCAATTTTTGCATAACCAATGGTTGATCCAAAAGCCTGTACAGCGTTACTACAATAAGCCAATAGGCTGCAGTATTGTAATAAAGTAAGAAAATTTGAGTCCAGAGATGTAAACACTTCTTTCCCAGAGAACGTCTTTGTCCAAACCCATGGTATACATGATAATCTATGTTTAAATATTATCAGTTAATTTTAGTGATGTGTTTGTGTTTGTCATCGATTGTGTTTATGTTGGTTAATCACTCGTATGTGAGATAAATAAAATCTGTAAGATAAATAAAAGTGGACTGTAATAATTTAAAAAAAAAAACTGGTTCTATTAACAAAAAATACAATTATTCTTCCTACACGGCAAACGAAAGCTTTTAACAATAGATTTTTTACAAAATTAAACCACTTTATTCTCTGAAAGTCTGAAAGCAACAACTTTTCTGAGCTAAAAACCAAACTTGCTTTATCAACACATATTTTGTTTTGTTGATAAATTTGGCTTTATACTCACACGTATAAAGTACAAAGACGTACACTTATTATTAATTATGGTCTTAACAGATTGCTTTGTACATGTTCTAATTACTATTAATGCAACGACACATTCTTAATCATTTAGAACCTTTAAGACCTTCTTCTTAAGCTAACAGCTTCGTTTATTTGGATTAGGTACCTTGGTTAATGCTTCCAAGCAGTTCTTTATATGTTTTGTATCTGTATTTGTAAAGTAAGGAGTGTGGATCGTTTCCAGAGTAGATTAGGCTGTACTAGGCTCTTTATGCATCCTCCTGAATCGACGGGGCCAATAGATGAGAGCGTCGGGCAATCATAAAGGATATTATACTCGATAGTTCCATCTTTCTCTTCACATCATAATAATAATTTCACAATTAAAATAGGCCATGTCAATTAAATATTAAATTCTAAATATCTAAAATAACTACGGATATTATTTTAACATTTAAATGTTTTCTTTTTAGGGTTTGGATCTAAATAAAACTTATGTAAAACCGCTAAAAATGTTGTATACCATGAAAACTGTTGTTAATATTTTCACATGGTTAATATTACTAGCATCACTAGGAGGCATGGCAACAGCGGGCGTTCTATTTTATAAAAATAACGATGTAGTAAAAGTAGTGGAAAATGAAAATATTAAAACTGCAATCTCAACAGTTGGCGAGCATGTAAATAAATCTGAAGCTGAAAATTAAATGTTATTTCAAACTTTTATATTTCAACTGCTGTAATAGACAGTTTTAAAATTTTACCATCTCAGGTAGTTTGATACTTTAGTACCTACTAAAAATTTTAGGTTTAACCTAATTAGCGAACTCTGTTAGATAATTTTCGCAGTTAATAAATATTCATGAGTAAAGGAGAATAGAAGTTTAATTTTAAATGAAATGAAAATTTTTAAAATCGGCCAATGGATAAAAAAACTTTTTAATAGTTATAAGGGTGGGTTACCCCAAAACCACCCCTTAAAATATTTCAATTAATTCTTATTTACCCCCAAATTAAGTCTCATGAAGCGCTTAAATAATTTACCAAATATAGATTTTTTTAAAGTCAAACGGTTACAGAAATATAAAATCTTTTGGGCTTCCGTAACTCCTTAAGGGTGCAACTTGGTACAGAGGTAAATTGCAGTAAATCATCATATTTTGGGGTGCCCAACATGCATCTGTTCTATGTCGGTACGTATGCGGAACACCCTGTATAATTTTAGCAAAAAGTATTGTAACCATTAATAATAAGATTCAAAAAGAATAAGTATAAATAAATTTTGATTTGTCGTCAAATTCCATTGGCAGTTCGCGAACAAGGAATTTTTTAAAAAATAAAAAAAAAACAATCGATGGTATCGGTCCAAACTTTGTTTATATTGTTTCTTTTATCACGTATATCATGGAAAAAATACGGTCAGAAATGGTAGTTTGGCAACTTTTTAATAATTTGATCCCAAAATTTCGGAAGTGTAAAAAATTTCAAAAATTGACAAAAATAGGTTAAAATTATTAAATTTTTCTGATCGCCTATTTTGGAGTCCATTTATTCCTGTTAAAGATTCAAAAACGTTACAGAATATGTTATATTTTATATCTGATATGTATGCTTACCTACAACCCTCCCTAGAGTTCGAAAATGAGGTCAAAAATGGGTGATATTTTAAATTTATATGAAACCGCCAAAATTTATTATTTCGTGCTAAATTGTATAAAATTGAATAAAATAGTTTTGTCACCCCTAGAATCGCCTAATAAGGATTGTTGTTGACAAAACACGCATATTTTTAGAACTACATTAAACACAGAGAAACGACCTCAAATTTTCAAATACATTATTTTCCTATCTATATTCTTACTACCAGCAATTGTTTTAATAAACATCCCTAATAAACATTTATTCGTTTTATGAAAAGTAAAAATTTTGGCTTCTAGAATTTATCAAAAAGCTTTTATAAAATTAGGTGATTTAAATAAACTTGAGGAAAATAATGTATTCGAAATTTTAGTGTCATTTGTCTGTGATTTTGTCTGTGATATTGTCATAAACAACAAAAATATGTTAATGATGTACAAAATATTTTTAAAAACATATCTCAATACGGATAGATTTTTTATCACCAATGTTTCAGTGATTAATGTTTTTAAACCTATTTTTGTTAAGTACCTATATCTTTTCTTAAGTCAAGTCTTGTTTTTTTATAGGATGAAAAATTAAGTATAAAATGAGAATTTATCAATAGTAATACATGAAAAAATGTTGTTTTATTTATAATCAAAAATAATTTAGAAATAAAAAAATTAAATAATAATTTTTTGATTCGTTGTAACTGTAGTCTGTAACTGTAGTCTCTTCGCTCTGGTCAGAAATAACTTATGAATGTTTCGTCTTCTGTTTATTTTTCATATTCCTTATCCTCTTCTTCATCTTTTCTTCATCCTCCTCTTCGTCATCTTCTTCATCCTTTTCTTTATCCTCTTCTTCGTCCTCTTCCTTATCCTCTACTTCATCCTCTTCTTTATCCTCTTCTTGATCATCTTCTTGATCCTCTTCTTCAGATACCTCAATTTTGAATCCTCGTTCGCTGTTATCTACGGAGAAACATAAATTTAATCATCGTAATTAATTATATTTTTATCTATATATTTATGTATACATTTATCATTAAAAATTGAAAAATTTAAAATAATATTTGCTGTTTTTTAACTTAGTGGCAGTTAATCAGCGTATTGATAAATTATCATTTTGTATATAATTTTTTATGTCAAACTGAGAAATATCCTCAGCTAAACAGTTTATTTGAAAATTTTTATTTGGAATAGTTAAAAATTGACCTGTACCTCTTAAATATTTTATTTGGTACAGTAAACCGTATAGGGGAGATCGGGGTAAGAGAAAATGAAAATACATACGAAAGTAATTTATTTGAAAGTTAAATATATATCAGTACAAACATATTCATGACTTTGTGTAATGTTACTCTTACCAAAAGTATAAAAATATAAATAAATTTTCTGCAAATAACAAAAAAAGTAAAAATGCAATTTTCGTCAACTTACGTTGACGAACCTATTTGGGTAAATCCCAACAGAAACTGTTAAAAGCCTCATAGCTGCTGCATGCTTCGTGCCACCATGACATACAATGAGAACATTGCAACCAATTTTCAGATGGTGGGTCGCTAATTCTTCGTTACATGCAGGGCAAAAATATTGAATCTCACTAGTGTGACCTGCAATATCAGTAGCACTGGGCTGATCAGAGCTGAGACACCAATACCTGGGACCAGTAGAACTGGGATCTGCAATATAAGCAGCACTGGACAATGTTTTTCGACGGTTTTGTCCCCTATTTTCTTAAACTGTAGATTTCTTCTAGAGTTCAGTTGTTCCTTTTCTTGTTTCAATTTTTTTTTGTTCTCTTTTTCTTCAATTTCTCTTTGTTTCCTTTTCTAGTTGTAACTTCAATGGAGTTCCACTTATAACAGTAGATGACAATTTTTTCCAAGGTGTGAGGACCTTTCAGATATTACAATTGGCCTAGGTTTCCAAATAGTAGGAAGGAGTTCATTTAAAGTATCTTTATCTGACGTTGACGTTTATGTGTCTCTATTTGACCTTTGGTTGAAGTTTTAAATGTTTCATTTTAGTCTAAGATCCGAAGTAAGGTCGACCTTCACTCATCTGTTTAATGAATGAAAGTTTCTTTTTATTAAATAAAATTTGTTTATAAATATACCGCAAAAGGGTTGCCTAAGAAAATACGGTCCAGAGTATTTATTTTCTTAAAATAAAAAAAAAACGATACCCTGTAAAGTATTCCTCAGAGGCTTCGACTATGCCCAAATTTTAATCAGCTCACCGCAGGATAGATTAAAGCTTAACCCAGGCAGCACACTTTGGTATAAATTACGTATTTTTTTAGGTACTACCATACGTATGAATACGGTTGATGTACTACCAAATATATTCGTGAAAATGTCCGCCTTATAAACGTCGATTACTAAGAATTTATCCACCTATAATTTAACGTTTTTACTATACGTCTATATGAGATTTATAGTTGTAGTATATTTATACGAATTCACTTTGGTATAAAATACGTTTTTTTATGTACTACAATATACGTATGGATACTGTTGATATGCTACCCAATATATACGTGAAAATGTCCGCCCTATAAACGTATATTTTTTTATTTTTTATACGTTTAACATTACTACTTTATCTACCTTTAATTATCCTGTTTTACTATACGTCTATATTAGATATATTTGTATGATTTTTATTAATGTGTAAAATGAGTCTACCTGATATTGTTTTAAATGTATTTCAAACACAAATTAAATAAAGTGATCAA